CAGCCACAGCCGTCCAGGTGGTTCACGCGCAAAACAGGGGAATAATAATGAAGCCATGCAATGCAATGTCATAGGAAAACACAGTACAAGAACAACATGTTTGAAACAAAATTTTATGCAGGTCAGAGCTATGAGAAGTGGGAACAAGAAGTACTAGAACATCACATCATCCATAGGATAAAGCTTTATTTGATTATCCATAAAAAATCAGTTTTGATTCATGGGGCTGTCCGTTGTTTCATTTAAAAATGTTTTGTTCTTACTGTTCTAATTGTAATAGGGAGTGGAAACAAATCTCTGAAAGGTAGTCTTTTAAGCCACCATGAGTCAGTTTTGTTCACTTGCTATTTCACATATTCTTGAAAAGACCCTGCGTTGTCATTTTTAGCAGTATGAAGACCGTTTTGAACACCAGTTGCTGAAGGACAGATGGTAATAAATCGCAAAAATACTGTGTGGGCAGGCACGGAAGGGCAGAACTACACGTTCCAAGGGTAGCCCAGGTTGATTATTAGAGCGTTTCATTTACACCAAACCTTTTTTCCTCTTCTGAGGAACCCAAGGGGACGTGAGTAGCTCCATGTATCTTCACAAAAACAACCCTGTGAGGTAGGCTAAGCAGAGAGTGAGTGCCTGGCCCAAAGGAGACCTGAATGGCTCTTTTACAGGAGATAGTCCTCTATCTGAAGAGCAGCCAGAGGACTGCCATCTCTTTTGAGGGGGATCCTCTCTTTCCTCAGTGAAGGAAAAGCTGGGTCATGAAGCTGCTGCTCGCAGCCACCGGGAAAGTGGATGGCGCAAACGGATGGTCAGGCCTCCTTTTCACGGTCTTCCACAACTGGTGAGATGTGCCGTATTTTTTCTTGTCCTTGTGCTTTCGCTTTTTGGCAATCACTGTATGCCAGCATATACCTCTATATATTGCGTATTAAACTGTGTTAAATTTCTATACTGACACTTAGCCATAAAAGGCTCTCAGGGCGGTTTACAACAACTAAAATACAAGATACATTAAAATTCAACATACAACAAAGTACAAAAATTCAAACCAGAACAAAATAAAAATCACAGATGCATGCATATGTGTGTGTGTGCGCACACACGCGCATTAGCACCAGCCCATCTTGTGCAAGCCAGTGCCCTTTTCTGTCCCCTCTTTCTGGTGATGCAAGCCCCTTTCCTGATGCCCAAAGAAAGGCGATGAGAAGCCCATGGAGGCATCCTGCCTGTTTGCACAAGCCCTGTGCCCAGCACCCTCCCACACCTGGCTGCTGCGTGGACCTTCCTTGCTGCAGAAAATCCTGGGGAAGGCACACAAAAGGCGCACTTTCACCTGGATGGTGCCTGAACCAGGCCTCAGATTTTTGTGCAAGGCTGGGCATCTCAACTCCAGAATCTGCTGCAGTCAAGCTCTTTTAAACAACTGCTCTTAACTAGCCTGCGCTTTAAACTCGAAGCAACGTGTCCCAATGAATGTTCTGCAAAAGACTGCTCCCAAGTGGTGTGATAAGGAATGTCACATAGTTAAAAAACAACTAAGAGAGCTGCCCATCAATACCTGAAGGACAGTCCTGTCTTGCCCCAGGCATATCATCTGATACAAAAGCAGTTTAAACATTTCTAATTTAAAAGATAAAACAAGCAACATCAAAAGGGTGGAAGGCCTTGATGAAATCCTCCTTAAATAATCATTCAAAAATCTTTGGGGTGTTAGTCGCAGATGCCCTGGGTGATTTTTTTCTGGTTCAGTTACTTGTATTATCCCTGCTGCTATCTGGGAATTCCATCTCTTTAAATAGTTTGCGTAAACCAGGGACCAGTCATTTGAAAATCTAGCATTCTTGGAGCTAAATAATTAGATAATTTGGTTCCAGGGGGATCTAGAATGGATCTGGTAATTCTGTCTGAAATAAAGATGCAGATTACCTGTCTTAAAATGGGAAAGGCCTCAGGTTCATATGGAATCAACTCTGACATCTTTAATGGGCAATTTAGACCAGTGGTCTCCCCCTTTTTCATAATTTTTCATACATAGAAATATTACTGGCCAACTTCCCATGGTGTGGATAGAGGCTATTGTGTTATAACACATTTTTCAAAAGGTTATAAAGAGGGTCCACCAAATTATAGATCCATTCCTTTACTGTCAGTAGTGGGAAAGTTGTATCCCTGCTATCTAAATTTGAGGCTTCCTGCTAGGATAGAAGATGGTGGCCTTTTCTATATGTGCCTCAGTAAACTAGGGAGTTAATTGATGGGAAGCATGTTCAGCAATTTAAGCTGTTTAGATATTTATTTATTTAAAATATAGTATGCTGTCTATTGTGCCATAGCATCTCTAGGTGGCTCACAATCACATTAATCATAAAATCATAGAACAGTAGAGTTGGAAGGGGCCATGAAGGCCATTGGGTCCAACGCTCTACTGTTGTAGGACATCAGGTCACACCATCCCACTCAATGGCTGCTCAGTTTCTTTCTGGATGCCTCCAGCATGGGAGAGCCCACCACCTCTCCTGGCAGCTGGTTCCACTGTTGTGTTGCTCTGACAGTGAGGAAATTTTTCCTGATGTCCAGCCTGAATCTGGGTTGTCACAGCTTAAGTTGAATATTCCCTGTCCTACACTCTGGCATCAGCAAGATGAGATCTTGACCTTCCTCTTTGTGAAAGCCTTTGAGGTACTTATAGAGGGAAATCATATCCCCCTCAGTCTTCTCTTCTCAAGGCTGAACATGAAAAACCATTAGAAAAACTAATTATACAACAACCCCCCCCCTAAAGTCCATGAAGAACCTCAATTAAAATACAGATAAAATACAAATAAAGGTTCGTGGCATCAGATATTTTTTAAGGTAGGTCTTTGCCTAGCCTTTATCCCCCTTTGCCGAGAGGAGTATGAAGAGTGCGTCAGGCATGTTTCCTTGGGGATGGACAGTCTGCATTGTTAGCAGGAAAGAACACCACTAAGGCAGTGATCTAGGGGGGTTTATGCCACAGAAAGTATTTCTTCTGCTGCCTCCAAGGTCAAAATCTTGTCCTGTTGCTGTCCAGTGTCCCAGTAGGGATTGAGGGATGTATTCCCCCTGTTCAGGATGCATCTACCTACTTCCTGCACTCGTTCTTTTGAAATGCCTACCTGTATATCGATGGAAGGCCCATAGCTCCAAACTGATGTTGAATCTGCAGAAATCTGTTTTGGACTCTGGCCCTTATGAATCAGCTGTGCCCCAGGGGCATCAGTGAGCACTCTGTGTTGTTCCAGACATGCTGGTGTACAACTCCCATTAGCCCTGGCCTGCATGCGTAATCGCATTGGATGATGTTGGCCAGAAACATCTGGAGGACCACAAGTTGCCTGACCCAGCTGGAGGTTCTGGAGCATAAATAAGAACACCATGGCTGGATCTTGCTCTTTCAGACCTTTGGCATAGTGTCAGGTAATGCCTTCTAGGATAGGAGAAGACAAGGTCATTTTGACATGAGGCGGAGGAGGCTCTTTCAGCGCATTGCTCCCAGGACATAGGAAGCAGGATATTACCAATCCAGTTTTATTGGCATAAGACACCACACTTGACCTAATGTCAGACAGCACTCCCCATGAACTCCTGAGAGCCTTTCGGTGGTTATTTCCCAGAATTGCTCCCAGAATTGGTGCAATTTGCCACTGTGCTCGTCTTGCTTGTTGTGAGGGTGTCACACGCAAGGACATTTGCTCTTTCCTGATGCCTTTGGAGTTCTATGGGGTATTTCCTCAGGCTATGCAGTGGGAGGCCTCCTACTCTGTCCAGTGGGGCTCTGGCTAGCAGCCCAGTACATTTGTGTAGACACAGAAACAGAGTCAGTCAGAAGGGACCTCCTGGGCCATCTAGTCTGGCTTCCGGCTCCAGCTGGCTCTGCTCATGACTTGCCTACCATGTGCATGTCCAGCCTATCCTTGAACACCTCCATGGAAGCCCATTCCATACCTGAGGGGTCCTAACCATCAGGAAGGACTTCCTGGCATCCACCCTAAACCTTGGTTCCCTGAGCTTTGCTCCATTGGAACGCATCCTGCCCTCCACCACAGGGGAAAAAGGGTCATGGCCCACCTCTGTTTGAAAGGACAGAATATTCTTAGGGCCCTTCAGCCATGAGGCATGGGTAATTTAGGTGTGCTACCCAACACGCCATAAAGAATGCAATTCTTAAGTAACTCATCAGGCACCAGAAGTTTCCGGAGGGGGGTGGTTTCTGTACTACGCCCATTGCGATTCTTGAGACTGGTTGGTTGGGTGCATCCACAAACAGTCTGGGGTCTTTCGATTGTATCATTCCAAGCCATTCCTATAGGCACGGAGGAAGAAAAGCTCTCTCTGGCTTAGCTTCATGCACAGCCAACTCTGCAGCCGAGTCCACCCACTACATGTAGATCCTGAGAGATTTCTCAGGAGGGAATGGGTTCCTGGCATAAATTCTCCCCTGCCAGATCCACACAACTGTGGTGCATACGATCCTATCAGGCATTCGAAGATTCTCCACTTCTGGAGGGCAAGAAGGAATGGTTGGGCACCACACTCAGGTGAGTCCTGCAAGGAGAGTTTGTCCAAAACATGTGCCATAAATACCTGAAGCATTGCCTGACATGGCAATGAAAGGGATGTCTCCTATTCTGTTATTGCTTCTCTACCACCTGAGATTCACTGCAGGATAGGGAAGAACCTTGATTTGGGGTGGGGGGGATCCTAATGCAGCATAGGCAAAAACAAGTCCAGAATGCCCTGACCAGGCATAATTCTCCCCAGGGAGCTATTCAATCTCAGATAAAATAACTCAGGCCACCTAAAGAATGTGCAATCTCTGCTGCATTAACATGACTTTAGAAAGATCATGGCATTGATGTGCGGTCCTTGGAAGCATACCTGGCAGTTTTTAAAGCACGTGAGAACCTATGCTTGAGGGAGTCTCTTTCCTGTACACATTTTTGATGCATGATTGACTCAAAGAAATCTAACAGGCCAGAGAAGTAGGAATTATGTCTTTATTTATCATATTGATATTGTATTTTTCCTCCAAGAAGCTCTGAAGAATAGACATGGATGTCATCCAGTGGAAGCTTCACAACAAACCAGTGAGATTTACAATAGAGTAAGGGTTTGAAGCCAGTTCCCTAGTCCAAGACCAGCCCTCCCTCCATAAACCCCCTCTGGATCTGATATTAGAAATCAGGAAATTCACAAACAGCCAAGTGTTCCTCTTGACAGGTTGCAGCATGCCACTTGCCCGATTGATTGATCACTGCGCAGTTCTTGGTGCGGTCAGCGTTGCTTGGTTCTCCATCTGCCCAGTTTGTGTAACTAGAGCCCTGATAGTGGACAAAGGCCTGCTCATTGTTCCTCTCTACAACTGACTGAAGGGCCTTGTTGTCAGCCTCATTCTGTGGAGAAGGCACCTGGCCACCAGCATGACTGCAGATGGAATCTACTGTTTCAAAATCCCCTTTCATTTTGTTGGTGGTGAATAAGTTCTTGCTGCCAGTTGCAAAAGTTCGAGCTAGAAGCAGAAACACACAAGGGTTGGTTGGGTCTCAATACTTTGGCATGAGAATGTTTCTTCTTTAATATCTCAAGAGAGAGAAAGAAAAGAAGCCTGAAGCCCGATAGTTGCCTGAAGGAGGAAGAAAGTGGGATATAAAAGGGAGGTAGGAAAAGCACAGGAGGGATGAGGACAACAGCTAACCAGTGGATTTGGACAGAAGCATCTGGCTTTGCCAGGCCATCTTTCTCCAAGTTGACAGTCTCCAGATGCTTGGCATGGCACTCTCAGAATCCCTCAGCCAGTTTTATGTAAGATACAGGAGAGGTTGGAGCACAGTCTGCAGGGGTGGAGTTCAAATACTGTTCCACCAGAAGGAATATGTCCTCTAAAGGGGACAAAAACTCTGCAAACCACTGGTGTGAAACTCAAACATTACTACTACTACTTGACAGGACATTATTGCAATGCCTCTGGAAAGTATAAATGAAAAGAGATACAAACAGATATTCCTAATCAGAGAACCGAAACAAGAGGAAGAGGAAGAGTAATTCAACATTAGGCCCATAGTAGCTACTTAACCTGGAAGATTGTGAATGAATCCACAGTAAGGGTTCTGGACAGTATTTGGAAAATTAAGGATGATGATCTATTCAGCTGTCTTACCATTCTGGACGGACCGAAAAGCATTCTTTGTACGAATCATCTCTGCTTTCATATCAGTGACCACTCCTTCCAACTTCTCCAGTCCTGAATGGGAAAACAAGGTTGGTTTTACTGGGCTGAACCGAGCGTGCTGAAAGCGTGAGTTCGTTCAGGGATCTATAGCCCCTGGAAGTGTGAGTGCATTCAAGAACATATGAGGCTTCTTCTTGGGCTTCTTTTCTTTTCATCCAAGTTAGTATTATTAAAATTACTCCTAAAGCAGCATTTCTGAACCTTTGAGACAACAACCCCCAGCATCCCTTACAGGTGGCTATGATGACTGGGACAGGTGAGAACTGAAGTTCGAAATCTCTGTAACAGACCAGCTTGGGAAAGGTTGCTTGGAAATTCCCATAGGCAGAATCAGCTCATTAACCCAAGTCATATCAACTCCAGTTTAGGCCCAGTTCTTGCCCGAAGAAGAGCAGTTCGTCACCGTGTTTCTTGACTGTATCACTTCAGAATATAAATGGAGCTTCACACACCTGCATTACCTCTAAAGGGAAAAATCCTTCCCAGTCAGCAAACTCAAATGCTGGAGAGTAGCCCTGACTTTTCAGTTCCCAAGGACTTAAATTTTTTGGTTTAGTTTTCATAAAGTGGGTGTTCAGCATAGGTCTTCACCATCTCTGCTGCCCAGGATTCCTTTTTCACTGGCGACACTAACGTGTGTGGTCCCACTATTTAATGCTCCCCACACCCTCGAGGGACATACTTTTGCTCAGCTCTGCTAGAGCATCATCAGCTTTTCCAGGTAACGTGGCCACAGCTATTGCCAGAAGAAAACCGAGAGCTAGAAATCGATACATTTTTCTGATGTCTGACCTATGAAATGAGAGAGAAAGAGACTTATTCAACCACATTAAGCAAGTATCCATGAGTATTCAGGGTAAACCAGATACCCTTGAACAGTTCTTGTGCTGTGTGATAAGGGAGGTGGTCCAAAACATTGGAGGACACCCGGCTGAGAAAAGCCGCCGGATGTTCCCAGTAGATCTAGGAGTATATCTCCTTCAAGGACTGAAGCCTTTATCATTCAGATATTTAGGTCCAATCCAATTCAAGTGAAGCACTTTCCAATCCCACTTAAGTCTGCTCTTGAGACCAAAGATTGGTTCATATCAACCAACTATGCTGACAAGGTGATATCTTTGATGACGATCAAATTCAGAATAGTCATGAGATTCCTTCGAAACTTAAGCTGCTAACCTATCTGCATTTAGTAGGTATAGCACTGCACAAATTATGTTGGAATCTGTTTGAAGCTCATCTTGCTTTGTTTCCCATTTTTATTTTCCTTCTTTTTCCATTTTTTTTAGTATTTTGAGTGGCAAATTGCACTTTAAAATGCTACAGCAAAGGCATCCAATACCTCCAGAAAGTAAAGCATGAAAACATGCATTTAAATACTATACACTTTTTAAAATGTACACTTTTAAAAATATGTATATTTCTATGCATGCACACATAGACCCAGTGAAGAACTCAGATGCATGGTTTGAAGAAGATTTTCTGTGGCTTCACTGCGGCTTCTGTGGCTTCAGGACCCACTTGATTTCTGTCTACCTGTCACCTTGAAGGCTGGAGAGATGAGGATGCTGTTGTAACCATGATTTGCTCAGTATGTGTGTAGAATTTACACAAACCAGGATTTTCAACCATCGTTTTAGTTTCTGGTATGTGTACATAGCACTTACGGAAACCTTGATAAAGAAATACAACTCACACCATTATTCCATAGCCTATTTGCACTCTGCACAGTACCAATCAAGAGTAAGATGTGGTGTTTCCACAATGCACAACTGAAGTAGATGGCAAAGGAACAATATGAATGGCTACATTTAGCATACATCCCACCTACCCATTACCTGAAGAGATTCCACACAGGGAGGAAATCCTAGCATGGCTTTTAGAAACAGCAAGAAATAAGAGACATAAGGAGACAAAATATGATCTCCATTCCCCCCACCACCCCACTTACTCTGAGATTTCTGGTGCTCTAGAGGCTCTTGGAGATGAACTTTTCCAGCTCTCTCTGGTTGTCGTTTTATACACGAAAAGGGATTGAGCAACAGGAGGGCTCGGCACATGTATTTCTCAACAAAGTCCCTTTTCATTGTGGCAAATGACAGTTTGTTTGGTTAAGAACAGTCCAGGCTTTCAGAAGACCTTGTGAAGATTAGTTTAGAAACTGACTAACCTAAAAAATGAGGAAAGAAACATGAAGGGATTTAATTGAGGATTGCTCAACATAGTTCAATGAGGTGTAGTTTTGCTTTTTTATTACTGTACAAACAAACAAATGGATAAGCTGAATAAATCCAGATTTTCACAATCTCGACAGCAAATTAAGGTGGTTCATTTCCATGAGAAGTACATGTTCCCAAAATGACAGTAATGAGACTTTTGGGGCATTCCTTGCTTCCAAGATGGTGTCTGTAAACACACTGGGAGTGAACACTTTGCTGCTACGTTGGGCAAGGTGTAAATGTTTGTGGCAGAAGGTCCAGCTGACCTAGGGCTTTGTGTGTTCTGGAAGAATTCAGAAGCTCCTGCAAAAATGCGAGTATGTGGCTTGCAAACTCCTGAGCATAGTTTTGTGAGGTTTGCAGGCAGGGCAGCAATTGCAAAATGGTTCCTGGCTCTCTCTCTCATGTGCTGGCACCTTGCTGCTCATGCAAGCCTGATCTCACTCGGTTGGACTCCTCTGAAGAGAGCTGGAAATGGGTCTGGCCTAAAGCACAGCTAGGGATGTGGAGCAACCCCTACTGGGGCTGGGAGTGTGAAGGATCCCTGGACTCAGCCCGGGACCCTGGGCTGCTTTGCCATGGCCCTGAGTCAGAGTTCCTGGGGAGCTGCCCAGTGTTCATGGGACTCTCCCCAGAAATGGAGCCCTACCTGACTGCTATGCAGGGAGTGTCTCTCTTCTGTGCCTCATGCAGGGGCTTTGGGGGTTTTTTGCTGCTGCACCTGATATGGAAGGGGGCTGCCAGATATGTAGGCTCTGTGCTGAGGGTGCACAGGGACTTCCTCTTGGCTTGGCTGGCTTTCCAGGACCAGGATGAGCACAAGGGGAAGTCTCCGAATGCAAGAGGGATGGAGCCCACTGGGTTCATCCGAAACCCAAGTGCAGCAGCCCAACTGCTAACCAAGGCATGGTTTCATCGTGGTACCTCCCCATCCACATTCCACATTCTTTCACTGAGGTCACATGGGAAGACTCGTTGTGGGATAGCCAGTCTTGGTGCTGCTTTTCTGCGTCTCACTTACACTCCCTACTGCAGTGAGTGGGTGATGCTCTCTTGATGGCCTCTGCCATTCTCTGAGAATGATCAGGAGGAGCTGCTAGGGAGATGTCTACAAGGCAAGGGCCCTTGGAACCCCCATGGGGTGAGGTGGGTACTGCAGAACTGTCTCCCATTCCTTTCAGCCCAAAGCAAGCAAGGGCAGCATCCTTCTGGGCAGAAAGGGTGGTTACCAGAGGGCAAGAAGCAGAGAGACTGGAGTCATCTAAAATCACACCTGTGTGTTTCCTCTCATGATGTATGTCTCATTCACTCACCCTTAAATCATCTGTCCTCTGACTTCTGAAACATGGTTTGCTAGTAAAACCATGGTTTGCTCACTCATGCACACACTTGCGTGCACAGACAGAGAAAGAGAAAGAGAAAGAGAAAGAGAAAGAGAAAGAGAAAGAGAAAGAGAATGAGAGAGAGAGAGAGAGAGAGAGAGAGAGAGAGAGAGGTGCTGCTAAACAGAAATAAAATGTTCACTCTCACAAAATATCAGATTCCCTGTACAATCACTACAAGTCAAACACGTTCAAGTCTGCATCATGGGGTAGAATGGAAAGCAATCTGAGCCCTATCCAGATTGAGTAATTGTGCGCATCCGGATTTTTAAAGGCATATCCTGCCTAAGAAAATCAGAGAATACAAAATAGAGAGTCTTTCCAGTTGTCATGTGTGGAGCTTTTTCAGAAAGGGTTTTTGCTCCTGCCACAGGAAAGAGAGATTTTATTGAGACTGAAGCTGCATGAGGTCACACTGATTGTGGTAGCGAGGATGACCACCTGCAGTAATGAATCTGCTGGATTTACTGGGGAATTATAGCACAGGAGTAACAAAGGACTCAAACAAGAGTGCTGCACCCGTGATACTTCCATGTGATGCAGGGGCTGAATGCAAGCCCCGTCTGTAGAAGTGGAGCCCCATCCGCTTCCCTGGCACACTCGCAGGGGTGTTCTCGGCTTCTCTGGGGAGACACTCAAACTGACCGCCAACCCAGAAAGCAGGAAAAGGCACCAGCACCTTTGCTGTTCTGCCTGGACGGGCTCAGCGGCTGTGGTGGGTCTGTCCCAGCTGAGCCTTCAGGCCTGCATCTCTCTGTCTCTGGTGAAGCCTCCCACTTGGCAGACACTGGAACCAGCTGCTGCTTGCGGCATCAGGCTTTTCATTTGTGGCATTCTAGGATCTCACTGGAGAAGACAATCGTGCTAAAGAAAGGCAAAGGGGAGGGGGAGGGAGGAGGAGGAGAAAGCAGCAGCTAATGTGGTATAGATGGGATTCCATGAAGGAAGCCACAACCTTGCATTTACAAGAGCTGAGCAGGGCTTTCAAAGGCAGAACATTCTGGAAGACTCTCGTTCATGGGATTGCCAGGATGGCATGTACCAGCAAGATTTCTGTGCTGCATCAGATGCTTGATTCTGAGAGTCTTTTCCTATGTCTCTTGTGAGTTCCCAGGTGGGAGGTCAACCCTGAGCTGGTTCCTATCTGAATCTAAGCTTACACCACAATCTTTAACATCTCTGATGACTAGGAAGAGTTGCAGGATGTGATACTAAGCATGTACAAAGCCCAAAGAAGAGGTAGCTTGCAGGGTTAATACTCTGCAAATTCTGGGCAGATCGGAGGGGCTAATTCTCAATTCAACTGAGTTATCATCATTTTGGTTTTAAAAAATATTTCCTGGGAATGTGAGGTGATAGCAACCACTGCTAAGTCAGTCTTTGCGCCTTACTAAGAACTTCAGTCTCCGATCAGTGAAGGTGGCTGGTGTGAAGTGCTGAGGATTACATGAGGCTCCCCTAGAAGGTCCCCTAGCAGAAGCTCTTGTCTACATTAACAGGTAGTACTTGGCCATGTATGGAAAACCAATGTATGGAAAACCAATACAGCAGTGAGGACATCTGGTAGCCTTCTAGATGTCTTGAGGGCTACCAGCCCTAGCCAACACAGGCAATGATGAAGGAACATGGGAACTGCAGGCCAAAACATCTGAAGACCCATACTTTGACCACACCACAATACAGGATGGATGGATACAAGGCTGCTGGGTAAGAATGATCCAAAATCTAAATTTCTCAAATAAACAGTAACACAGAGACTTAAATTACTGCGAAGGATTGTTCACTTTTAAACCACAACTGTGTAACCCATATTCATTGGCTAATTATACAATCTAATCTGATTGATTTATTATTACAGGGTTTGAAATCAGTTGAGTAAGAGATATCATATAACCTGATGTACTAAAGCCAATTTATTTTAGTTAAAAGCCAAATAGTCTGAAACGGGAAACTTAATTATGAAGGATTAATGATTTTTCTTTCCTGGGAACCTATGTGGAAAGGATCTTTAAACATGCAGAATTACATGAGACATTCTCAAAGCTGATGCCTGCAGAATTTCACACATTGCTTAATACTGCTCTTTGGATGTAAATATTTGCAAAAAGGCCAGCGGGCCTTCCGAAAGAAGTTTGGCAGCACTTCATAAATGGCTGAAGACAGGGTAGATGTCCAGGGATGTCTCAGTCTTTCCCTGGTGGTTGGGACATATTTGATGAAATGTACCATAACAGGTAGCATTCTCAGCAGTTCTGAGAAATCAGAAGGCACTGCTTTATGGGAATGGTGTGTCACTTCTTCATTAACATAACTCCTCACAGATACAAAACAAGGAGCTCCTGGTTTTATGCTTTTCAGACTATTTTTATTTATTTAATTTATTTATTTAGAAAATTTCTATGCCGCCCCATTCGCCGAAGCCTCGGGGCGGCTCACAAAACATTAAAATATAATACATTAAAAATATAAAACGAATTTACGATATAAAATAAGTCGCCCGGGCCAAAGAATAAAATAAGGAAATAATATTAGCAATTAAAATGACGTTTGAATAAAAAGGTCTTCTCCTGGCGCCAAAAAACAAATAATGACGGCATCAGGCGGACCTCTCTGGGGAGCGCATTCCATAGATTGGGCGCCACTGCAGAGAAAGCCCTCCTCTGAGTACCTACCCTCCTAATTTCCTTCACGGAGCATTCCCGGAGAAGGGCCTCTCCTGCAGATCTCAGTGGGTGGGCAGGCGTATATGGACGTAAGCGCTCCTTCAGGTAGCCAGGATCCAAGCCGTTTAGGGCTTTATAGGTCATCACCAACACCTTGAATTGGTCCTGGACTTCAATGGGAAGCCAGTGAAGCTGACAGAGGACTGGAGTCATGTGAACATGATGCCCACTCCCCATCAGCAGCCTGGCAGCTCTACTTTGAACCAATTGAAGTATCTGGACCATCTTCAAGGGTAGCTCCACGTAGAGCGCGTTACAGAAGTCAAGGTGGGAAGTCACCAATGCGTGTGTCACTGTCGCCAGGCAGTCATACTCCAGGTAGGGGCGCAGCTGATGGATCAGCCGAAGCTGAAGGAAAGCACTCCTCACCACTGCTGTCACCTGAGCTTCCAATGATAGCTCTGGGTCAAGGAGCACTCCCAAGCTGCAGACCTTGTCCCTAAGAGGGAGTACAACCCCATTCAGGACTAGGTTCAATTCACCCTCTCCGAAGCCCGATCCGCCAACCAACAGGACCTCCGTCTTGTCTGGATTGAGCTTCAGTTTATTGGCCCTCATCCAACCCATTACCTCGGCCAGGCACTGGTTCAGCACAGCCACTGCCTCACCTGGATTGGTGGAAAACGAGAGGTAGAGCTGGGTATCTGGGTATCATTGAGATGTTTTAAGCTAGTTGAACAGTTCAACAGAGCTGGCTTAAGAAGACATTATGCATGCTACAAATCATA